AGCCAGCTCAGGTGATGGCCCGTCCCAGACCTGGCACATCCTGCACACCCATGGCTCTGTCTGGGGAATTCTGCCCTCCTAAGGCTGGCTTGGCTGGGTTTTACATTTCTCTGGCTCCTCTTTGGGAGCTGTCCCAAGCAGGGATTTATGGATCTCCTGGAAAGGGATCAGAGCAGTTCAGGAGGAGGGATCATGGCTCACCTGCTGGGACACTCCATGGCAGGGGCAGGTGACACCATCTCGTGCTCCTGGTTTGGGCAGGTGGCCTGTGGGGTGAACTGCATGGTTGGTCCAGGGAGCAGGGACCCAAAATCCTGGCCCAACCCCACTGCAGTCTGCAGAGAGCCTTCCCCAAGGAGGAGCTGAGGGATACCAAACTGATTGCTGTTTTCTAATACTGTGTTTATGGGGAGATGAGAATTTATAGCATTGAGAAGGAATTCATAAGAGAAACGATATAAACTCCAAGGCCTCCAGGTGTACAGGAGGCTCTAAATTACAGCTTCAGGAAGGGATGCTCTGACATAGCTTCCTGCCTGGTGTGTATTCCTTGAGACTGCCTCTGAGTAAGGGCTGCTTCTGTAGGCAGGTGTAGATCAGAACTGGGGCAGCTCCCACAGGGCACTGCTGGAGGGTGCAGTGATGAACTGCCTCCTTTCCCACCCTGTATCTGATGGGTTCCTGCCCAAAAGGCTTCTTTGCAGGCTAATCTGTGTGCCACAAGTGCCTTGAACTCCCCACTGAGGGGATGGAGGGGATGGAGGTGTACAATTCTTTTTCAGTCCTCCTCATGCAGCTTGCCCATTTGGGTGTAATTAAGGATTCACTGGGATGTGGAAGGGTTGGGAGGATAATTCTGACACTGTCCCTTGGGAAAGCAGCTCAGAGGTTTGAATTTGTCCCCCAGTGAATATTGCATGGAGGAAAGCCTGAAGTGCCTCTGACACCTTGGCTGCAGCTGTGAAACTGTGTTACCTACGGGGAAAGCTGGAGTTTGCCTTCTTACTGATGACAGGGATCACTTTTTCTCTCCACATGCTGCTCGTATTTGTTTACACTGGGAATAAATGTGGTGTCATGAACAGCTTCAAATACTTTGAGATGTCTTGCAACACAAGAAAATAAATTGCCAATGGTTCCATCACTTCCATCACATTCTGACCATCTGTGCTTTATGCACCTTTTCTTAAGAACAAAAAAAAAATATTTTCAGCATGGGCTGTGCTTTTAGTTTATGTGTAAAGCAGATAAAGAGAGAAGCTAGCTAGAGGCAAAATCAGAGTTTAGACTGGCTGTTCATAAGGGCGACCTTCCCTTAAAATTCCCTTTTTTTCACCCTGCACATCACAGAGATTTAGAGCCCTCATTGACTGCAGAAAACACAGCTCCAGGAGGACAAAGGATGATATATTCTCAACGAATGTGTAAAGTATAGTAGTTCTAAAGACAATAAATGCAAGGTCGCATTAGGGCACAACAGTTAATTACCCACTTCATTACTGTCAAGGTTAATACAGTATTTGAGCACAGGAGCTGTTTCTCATCTGCTGCTGGAAGCAAGGCAGGACAGCCTCAGCGGCAGGCAGATCCATTACAGCTTATCAGGGCAGCACAGGCGCTGCAGAGCCCCATGAAGGATGGCTGCTGTCACCAGGGAGCCATGGGACACACGGGGAGCCGGGCCCGGCCCCAAACACGGGCACTGCACCCACAGAGACACACGGGGAGCCGGGCCCGGCCCCAAACACGGGCACTGCACCCACAGGGAGCTGGGCCCAGCCCCAAACACGGGCACTGCACCCACAGGGAGCTGGGCCCAGCCCCAAACACGGGCACTGCACCCACAGAGACACACGGGGAGCCGGGCCCGGCCCCAAACACGGGCACTGCACCCACAGAGACACACGGGGAGCCGGGCCCGGCCCCAAACACGGGCACTGCACCCACAGGGAGCTGGACCCAGCCCCAAACACGGGCACTGCACCCACAGAGACACACGAGGAGCCGGGCCCGGCCCCAAACACGGGCACTGCACCCACAGGGACACACGGGGAGCTGGGCCCAGCCCCAAACACAGGCACTGCACCCACAGGGAGCTGGGCCCAGCCCCAAACACGGGCACTGCACCCACAGGGACACACGGGGAGCCGGGCCCGGCCCCAAACACGGGCACTGCACCCACAGGGACACACGGGGAGCCGGGCCCGGCCCCAAACACGGGCACTGCACCCACAGGGAGCTGGGCCCAGCCCCAAACACGGGCACTGCACCCAGACGGGAGCCGAGCCCAGCCCAGGGCACTGCACCCCACAGGGGATCAGACCTGCAGCACTTCAGAATTGTGTATAAACATTTAAGTTCTATTCAGATAGAATACCACTATCACAATCAGATAGAATGTCAAGCAAACCTCTTGACAATACAGAGCATTTCACATGGTCTTGATGAAACACTTCCCAAATTTTCTTCTCCACGGGCACTACAGTTCTTTTGATAAGAACTGTGCTGGATATTTCCTTGGAGAAGATCAAGCTGGTGTAGGCTGCCTGATTGAGCCTGGAAGCATTTCACAAAGTCTGGCCTTCCATATAAGGGAAATGCAAAATTTAAAAACGAGCCAAAGCAAGTAGAAATATTATTGTTATTGCTGTTAGAAATAAATAGGTATCATAATTGATAATAATTGTTATTCACAGTAACAAAGCACTGACTATTCAGAAAGTGTGCCTCTGGAACGGGTAAGTTTTATCCTCCCTTTGTGCTGGCCATTTTCATTTTCTCATGGAAAATAATCTGAAGCCAATAGGAATTGCAGCCATCACACTTGCAAGTCACTGTTAGCCAGTGATCATCCTTAAAATGCTGGGATAAAAGAGATGGGGTTTAGTTCTTAATCCCCTTCACTTCACCAGTCAGGAGGAGACAGCACTGAGGTCCCAGAGCTGTCCAGGACAGCTTCACCAGGCTGAGGCTTCAGTGGAAAATGCTTTTTTTTCTTTTGAAACCAGAATTTCCTGTAAGATCATTTTACTATTAGTGCTATTTTTAAATCCCCACAGTGGAAAAGGTTCCTCCCACGCGTGCACCTGTCTGCAGAAAATCCCCAAACCGCAGGGATTTGTCACCAGTGAATTCCCCAACATAAACACTCAGCTGCGTTTTCTGAACCTTCCTTGTGAGGGTGTGTGACAATGCAGACAGAGCAGAGCGTGCCTGGAGGGGCAGGGGGCAGCTCCCCTTCCCTTGGCACACCCAGGGGAGCTATGCTTTGTGCAGGTTCCCTGGAGGTGTGAAATGGGCACTTCCCTCCTCGGCAGGCCCTGCACAGCCGGGCGTTTCAATCTTGTTTTCAATTCTAAGCATTTCATTGTCGAATGTTGCTGCTTTATTATGTGATAATTAAATAGGAATGATCGTGCAGCCATCCTGCCTAAGAGGCTGGAGCAGAATTAAAGCAATCCCTCTCATCCTGCTGAATGGCTTTGGAGGTGAAAGGAGTGATCTATTTGCTGTCTCTTATTTTTGCTGTCCTATTGTTTCAGTACCACTGGCTTCAAAATAGCAAACTAGGCAAGTAATTACGGACATAAATCAGAGCAGGAGGCAGCGTGAGGTCAGCACTGCTTTGCTTTTCACCTGCCTTTTCTCAGCTGCCTCTTGCTGGGAGACAAAGGAGTACATTCCTGTTAATTTTGTGCTCTTACTGGTGATTGAATGCTTTTTTAGACAAAGTTTGAATCCCTGAGTGCTGTCAAGCAGGAGTTAAGCAGTCTCACCATGCTTGGAACAAGTGCAGAGTGACCAGGCTGGCTCTGGAATGCTGTGGTTGGTGTCCAGTGTCCCACATTCAGCATGTGCCCTGCCTGCTTGGTTCCTGGTACACCACAGTCCATGTGCAACACTTCCAGAGAGGGAAATCTCCTTGGAGTGACCACGGTGACTCTGTTGAAAAGCTCAGTGAGTTAAGTAAGATGCAGCCAGAGATACTTAGCCAAAGTAAATCAACAAAGCAAACGTGTTTTCAGTGGAGCCTGGCTGATTTATGGCCCTGGGCGCCAATCTGTACATCTTATTCCTGTTGGGTGTTTGTAAACGTGCAGTGGTGCTCAACGGCAGTGCCAGGTGAGAAATGGATGCAGGCACATGTCACAGCCCTCAGGTGGAACTGGCTAAAAAATGAAATATTTCCTGAAGGACAGCTGTAACCACACGCTGCTCACCTCCCATCCTAGCAGGAGCAGCAGTGCTTTGGGCATAAAGGAGTGGGATGGGATCTGTGGGAGGCTTGGCAATAGTGGGACACAAACTGTGCCAGCACTTGGCATCCCTGACATGGGTGTCCCAGAGCCATGGTTGTGCACCGTGGCCTGCTGGATGCTGTGTGTTACAAGGAGATGGAGTTAAGTGGTTTTCCCTCTTTCCCAAGTGTATTTTACACTAAGTTAACTAAGAGGCAGTCCTCAGTGGGATTCTGCTACTCAGGAACATACTGTTTTGTAAAAAAAGAAAAAGCCAGGAAAATTCAGTGCCTGATTAACTGTATGCTACTTTTCATTCCAGCAGTTTGCTAAAATAGCACATGGAAGTGACCACTGAATGATTCTCATTTAGCTTATTCATGCCCTGAAAATCCGACTCAGCCCACCAGTGTGGCTTGATGCAGACAACTGAATAAGAACAAATGGAAAATAAGTAGTGAGTTTGGATGTCTCTATTGTTGGCTGCTCAACACCCACCTCTGAAATTGGGCTTTTTGAGAGTGTCTTGGGGTTGCATGCCAAATCCCAGCTTGTGATCTGCACTGTATTTAAACATTTCTTCATGTCCTACTGTAATTATTTATTGAGGTTTTTTTTTAAGCAATGAGATCTGTGACAAAGGACATAAGACCTTGCTGTGGGTAGTCCTGGGTGAATACAGACTTCTTTCCTTTTTGGTGTTTTTTTTTGGTGAAATACTGAACAAAAGCCAGTTTAACCGAAGCCATTTTGTATTGGCAGACCATTGTTCGGGGGAACAAGCCTCGAAAGGACACTTCCATCAACGGGCTGCTGGAGGAGTTTGACAACATCTCGGTGACCCGCTCCAACTCGCTGCGGAAGGAGAGCCCTCCGCGGCACCACCAGGGCAGTGCCAACCACGCGCCCCGGCCCCGCGAGGAGAATGGCTTCATCGTGTGCTCGCAGTACTCGAGCGAGTCGGACAGCACGGCCGAGAGCGCCGGGGAGCGGCTGCGGGACCGGGCCCCGTGCGGGGACGAGTGGGACCGCTACTGCCAGGGCAGCCTGGCCGCCAGGCACAACGGGCACCTGCTCAAGGTCACGGCCCGCGACTTCTACTACTCAGAGGTGGCCCCCCTGCAGCCGGAGCTGTCCCGGTTCCTCCCGGATTACCAGGCTCACCTGGAGAGCAAGCCCAAGGCGCTGGAGTACGGCGGCCTGAGGCTGGAGTACCAGCGCGTGCCCAGCGGCTCCTCCCTGGACTACCGAGATTCCTTCCCCTACGCCCCGTCCCGGGCCTCGCTGCAGAGCGAGGGCCCCAGGGACCGGCTGGACTACGGGGACCCTGACTGGGGACACGGCCTCGCCAAGGAGGACGTGGACAAGAGGCCCAAGTCCTCGTACGTGGACCCCGCGAGCCCCCAGCCGGCCATGAGGCAGAGGTCCAGGTCGGGCTCGGGCCTGCAGGAGCCGGCCATGCCCTACGCGGGCAGCGCCTTCAAAGCTCACCAGCAGGGACATCCCTACAGCTCGTACACCTACCCCCGGCTGTCCGAGAGCGCAGCAGGAGTGCCCAAGGTAACCCAGGGGCTGCACGGGGCCAGGGCAGCAGTGAGGGCAAGGAGCCGTGCGTGGGCACACCGTGCCAGTCGGGGCTGGGAACGGCCCCCAGCGCTCTGGGGCTGCTCCTTGGCAGCCGTGCAAACCCACCCACTGCACTGGCGTGTATGGAAATGGATGGCAGGGACAGTGGGTTTGAGGTACTTATTGAAAGGCAGCTTTGGAGTGCCCATCTTCTGGGGATTTTATTTGAAATTCCCAGTAAGTGCAAGCTCTTCAGCTGTTTTTTGTAGCTTCAGGAGTTCCTGCACCTGAGCACATCTATAGCAGGAGGTAAGATGCTGGTCTGGTTTGTGTATCAGATACTTCTGTGTTTGAGTTGTTACTGTGCAAGGCTGAAACCTCCATGTTTCAGTATTTGTACTGTATTTATGCCATCTTTGTATTACAAGGTTTATGAGCTCTTCACTGCTCATGAGAGTAGGGGCTTACTCCCTTCTGCATTGTTTTTAAGCATTGAAATGAAGTCAAAGCAGCTATCTCACCCAAGACATTTTAGATGTAGTTTTAAAAAAGGGTTGATGTGCAAGAAAGCGTTTCAGCCATGTTATCTAGAGGCAGCTCCTCTCCACAGATCTGTCCCTGCTCTGCCACATGAGGAGTGTTACCTGCACAGGCCCTCCAGCCCTGCTTGCAGCAGTGTGCTGTGACCACTTGTTCAGTTCAGAGTGCTTTTCTCACACCTCTAGTCACATAACCATGATGACCTTCTTAGCATCCAATGCTGTACAAGAGGTGCCTTTTCAGTGTAGTTTGCTCTGAACATCTCTGAGTTCCCCTAGCAACGGGCACTGTGGTGATCATTTTCCCAAGCCTGGGGTTGCTGTGACTTTTCCCGTGCTGAGGAGGGTGACTGTCAGTGGTGAGGTGTGTTCCTCTCTCTGATGGTAGCTGGCCGGTGCATTTGCTTGTGGCTGTGTCCTGCTGCACTGCCAGGTCTGCAGATCCCTGATGTCCCTGGCTTGGAGCTGTGCCAGCCTTGTGCCTCCTCAGGTCTGGCTGCTTTGCCATTACCGTGGTGCAGTGCCCGTGGGAAGGGGTGAGCAATGCACTTTTTGTCCCTCTTTGCACTGGAGCACAGAGCCAGGCTTTGGAGCTTGGATAAACCCTGGGGGGAGCAGAAAAGCCACCAGGTCTCTTTAGATGCCTTTCCAAAGCTCAGGGTGTGGTGGGAGGAGTGTGTGTGGTAGTCACACCAGTGAGGCATTCAGTGTGGATTCTGGAAGCTGGGAGGAAAATCTGGGCTGGGTTAGCTGCCATTTCCTTTACTTAGAGCAGTCATTTTGTCAGAGTTGAGAAAAGAGGAGGGCAAATGCAGTAATGCAGAGACCCTGTAGCAGCTGCTTCTGCCAGTTTTACACCAATCAATAGGGCAGAAGACACAGGTGTTTATTATAGGATTCCAGCACTTGGAAAAATATCCCATTAAAATGCAGTAACAGCTTTTATTTAAAAAAGAAATATGCCTCTATGCAAGATTCATTGTGAGCTGTTCCTCTCCTCAGAGCATCAAAAGAACTCCTACAACCTTGGTGTATTGAAACTTGATGATTCACTGGTAAATGCAGCAGTTCAATTCCCAAACCTGTCCACAGCGCCTGCAGGTGAATAGGAGTTTCTTGTCTTGGATGATTGCTGAAGAATCTTCTTTTCAAGGAGGCATTAGTAAATAATGGTTCATCATGTGAGCTTACTAAATGAGAGTCAGATCTCAAATCAGATATTTTGCAAATGAGATTGGGTTTAAAGTATAATTAAAAGGGCTGAAAAAGTAAGTGAAAAAATCTGCAGGCACAAATGTGGCATCAAAGTGCCTTTAACAATGTTGTTCATTTTGGCTGTAAATGTGAAGAGCAGATTTACTTCAGCATTATTTGCAGGTCAGAGATGTCAGACCAGTCAATGTGTGCCTGTTTCATCATCAGGGGTTTCAGAGTTGTTACATCAGAGGACTTGCCCTGCCCTGGGCTTGGCCGCTGCTGTGCAGGGGAGCCATGGAGGTGTGGGAAGCCAGAGGCTCAGATTTGCCTCTCTGAGCCACCCCTGTGTCAGCACGTGCTCTCCTGTCCTGCAGGCTGACTCCAGGACACCTGCATGGAGCTGCAGAGTCTGCTGTGCCACCCTCCCCACACAGAGCTGCTGTCCCACCTCAGTGTTGTCCCACAACATCGAGTTCATCATTGGCTGCTGTTTGGCCACTCTGTGCTGCATGGGGTTTTTTACCCTCCTCTTCATCACAGGCACCTCTCAACTTCTGCCACCAAGCCCTATTACTTCACAGCTCCTTTCCCTGTCATTGTGCAGGAGCAGCTCTCTGGGACCCTCTCCTGTCCCTCTTTCCAGGGCCCATGGTGTCTGCTCCCCTTCGCTGCTGTAGTGCAGCAGAGGTGTGTCACCACGGTCCCCCTCTGTAGCACGGGCACATTTCCAGCCTGGCAAAGGCAGGGCCGAGCCTTCACTGCCAGAAACCCCCTCCTTTCTCCTGTGTTCCCATCCCAGCCAGCAGCTGTGTGTGAGTGCTGCCTGCCACCTCTGTGTGTGGCACAGAGTCCTGGGGCTGTCCCCAGTGAAGCAGCAGAGCCAGACCTTTGCCTTTGTGGTCTCAGTGTGGGTTACAGACCATCCCTTCTGCACCTGCCACCTGGCAGACTGTGCCATGATGAATGTTGTGCCAGAGCTTTGGCTGCTCCTTTGACCTCATCTGGAAGGAGTGCAGGACTGCTTTCTTCTTTCCTTTGTAGCATTTAAAGGATCTCCGTTCAGTAGGGGCTGCATTCAGCAGCAGAAGTGGAATTATTGGTGGAGTAAAAATGCGTTCATTTTGCTGTGGTATGGAGCACTGCATCAGGACAGCCTTGGAGGAGAGCTTCAGTGATTTATCCATTGTAGCTCCTGACTTCTTGTAGCATTTCTTGGGATTCAGGAAGTGGGTTTACATTGTGCAGCAATGCTAACCTCAGAAAGGCTCTGAGAACTCTCAGCAAGTACACTGAACCCCTGAATGTTCATTCTAAAATTTTACTGCAGAATATTCTTTGGCCAGTGTGTTAAGCCTGGGGCATAGTCAGAAATACCAGACACGGGTGAAGCCTCAAATAATTCATTGGCCTGGATTTATCCAGCTTGAATTTCTAGACCAGGTTTTCCCCATCTCAGTGGTTATAAAGAAAATGGTGTATTTACAGCCAAAGCAATAAATTATTTGTCCCTACATACACAGATATATAGGACAGGGTTAGATTGAGTTCCCCTCCCTCCACCAAACCATCTGAGCACTTCTCCACCTTAATTAGTTTGGCAGATGTAATGTCCTTCATGAAATTCATGTGTCTGACTCCCTTCTGTTTGATGGCTGTCCTGCCTGATGGAGTAAGGGAAATGATGGCTGTAATGGTGTGGGTTTCTGCCTCAGCACCCCAGCACGCTGGGAGGGGACTGCACAGCCCTGCTGCTGCTGCTGCTGCTGCTGGGTGCTCCTGATGGAGGGTGGGGGGCTCTCAGCCCTGCAGGAGGGACACTCCAGCTCTTCCCAGGGCAGCCTCTGACAGCCCCTCTGGAGAGGCTTCCCTCTCCCTGCCAGAGCTGTGCTGGGCAGCCTCTGACAGCCCCTCTGCAGGGACATTCCCCACTAAAGCTGTGCTGGGCAGCCTCTGACAGCCCCTCTGGAGAGGCTTCCCTCTCCCTGCCAGAGCTGTGCTGGGCAGCCTCTGACAGCCCCTCTGCAGGGACATTCCCTTTTCCCCAGAGCCCTGGTGGAGTGAAGGAAGGCCCAGCAGCCCTGGTGGCTCACAGGGAGGTGGGAAAGGCCAGCAGAGAATTGCTCTGGAGGCACCTCCAGCCCCAGGCTCCTCCTCGCGGTGCAGAGCCCACGCTGATAAATTGATGCTGCGGCAGATTTTTTTTTCTTTTTTTTTCTTTTTTCCTTTTTTTTTTTTTTTGCAGTCTTAGCATAAAATGGTCAAATGATGTTCCACCGCAGAATTCAATTTCACAGTTCAGTTGGGTCCTTGATTACACTGCCAAATTCAGATTAATGTGCATTTAACTAACATGGATCAGGGACTCCTGGCTGGCAGCCAGCAGTAATAGTAGCAACCGTGAGCTGTGTAGAGTTTGCTGCTCTGTCCATCCCTGTGCACTGCCACTGAAATTGATTGATTAAATGAACTCATTGCCATAATTATTTGTAATTGTGCTACATGATGAGCCTGTGTCAAACCGCCCCCCTGCCCTGAGATGCTCCACACATCGGCAGGAGTCACACATTGTAAATGTGAAGATGTTCTTTTACAGAGGAAAAAAATATCATTTTTGGGTGGGTTTTTTTGTTCTACATCTTTTGGGCGGGTTTTAGTTTGGATGGAACCAAGCAAACCATTATGTTTGTAAATGTGGAGTATTCGTTAGCCTTCAATGTAATAAGCTTAGAGAAGCTTGAAAAATACAAAAAATAGAAAGGAACCTAGAAATGAACCAGGCTTCCCATTGGGATAATTTCCTTTGCGATTTTCTCTGATTTCAGATGAAAATTAGCAGTTTTGTGACACTGCAGTTAAGTAGTGTGTCGCTGTGGAAAATGATTTAAGAAATGGTGAATTGAATTAGGCTCCTCATCAAACTCACGTATGCAGTACCTCAGACAACAGCTGGCAGCATGGCAAGACTGGAGATGACAGGGATTTTAGGGTGCCACCACCTCCACAGGAAGGGGTTGGGTTATCCCTGAATTGCTGCAGAAAAACATAAGAAAAGGCTAAGAGCTGAGAATCAAAATGCAGGTACTGGTGAGACTCAGATTGGAATTTGCTGGAGGGCGAGTTTTATGGATGTGACAGGCATGGAATCTTGGAGGAAATGGCCCAGAGAGCCTGCAGGGCACTGCAGATACAGAGCAGATACACTTTTTTAAGCATAGATCCCTTCCAATGCAGGCCATTCTGTGATTCAGCAAGACTGTGGAGTGCCCAAACAGGTACCTGGACAGAAGAACGGACCTGGGATGCAGAGATGTCCTGAGTGTGCTGAGGGCACTGCAGCCCCGTGGTGTGGAGATCCCTGCGCGGCCTGGGGCAGCAGTGCTGCGCTGAGCAGAGGGGGTGCAATGAGGGAGCACGCTGTGCCAGCTCTGCTGGGCCCTGCAGGGGCTGGAAAAGGATGGAGGGGCAGGGCAGGGCAGGGCAGGCAGGGCAGGGAGGAAGGAGGGAGCTGTTCCCAGCCTCACTGTGTGTGTGTGTCTGCCTTGCAGGCGGACTATGAGCGAGCGCAGCTGGTGGTCAGCCCCCCGCTCTGTGGCTCGGACACGTACCCCCGGGGCCCAGCCAAGCTACCTCAGAGCCAGGGCAAGGGCAGCTACGGCGGCGGCAGCTACCAGTACCCCGTGCTGTACCACAAGGCTCCCCACGGGCCGCAGCCCGGCTCCCCGTTCGTGTCCCCGGGCTCGTACCCCGGCTCGCCCAGCCTGGCGCCCGGCGCGTACCCCCCGCCCAGCTGGGGCTCGTGCTCGGAGCAGGCGCCCTCCAGGGTGTCCCACGAGCAGTTCCGCGCCGCCCTGCAGCTGGTGGTGAGCCCCGGGGACCCCCGCGAGTACCTGGACAGCTTCCTCAAGATCGGCGAGGGCTCCACGGGCGTCGTGTGCATCGCCACCGAGCGCCACTCGGGCAAGCAGGTGGCCGTCAAGAAGATGGACCTCAGGAAGCAGCAGAGGAGGGAGCTGCTCTTCAATGAGGTACGGGGGCTTGGGGGTGCCTCGGGGGTCTTTGGGTTCAACAGGAAACGTGGGCCACGTGCCACCATCAGGAGACGCATTCATACCTTTGCAGCCGAAGTGAGGAGTCCCACACAGGCTGTGCTTGTGTAAATATTGTGTAGCCATTCCAGTTTCAGCTCGGCCACTTCTCCTCCAGGCTTGAAACCTCTGGTGCTGTCCCGGGAAACAGCTGAGAGATGTATCAGCTGGTGCATGCTGTGTGTCAGCTGCTCAGACCTGGCCCTGCTGCCTTTTCTGTCTGTCTCCTGGCACAGCTGATTATTCCAGGAGGGAGGATCCAAGCTAACCAGGCTATTCCAGAGTGTGTGTGCTGTATTTGTGGCATACACGTGCTTTTTGTTTCCTCCCTCCTTCCTCTCCTCACCATCAGCACTCCCTGTGCTGTGTTGATGGTACTAAGCTAAGAGCTGTGAGTCCTTTTCCATGTAATTATCTGAGTTAATTCCCACATCTCCTCTCCTGAGTGCTTGCAGCCAGCTCAGAGCCCACAGGTCTTTTACCTGTGTATGTTATTTTAAATTTCAGAGCACTGGTTTTCATTTGCTATTTTTTCACCCAGTTTGTTTGGGGCTTAACAGTACCTTCGCAACCTACAGAGTTTCTCCTTTTTTTAACTTCTTACTCCCTTAAAGCATCTGGTGGGGTGTGTTCACTGCTCCCTTTTTGAGATCACTTGTAAATATCTGATCAATACCAAAACCACTCCCAAGGAAGCCTCCTGTGAGAATGAACCTTTTAATTCTATGTTTTGTTTCCTATACACTGTGTGTCTTCCCTCAGCACATGACAGACTGGAATCTTTAACACCTTTGAAAACATCACATTTTTTAGTTACAATATTAAACAGCAAACTTCAACCAGTTCTTCTTTACACAGTGCAGGACTATGCTGGTTATTTGGGCTTGGCTTTGCCTCTGCTGGAGGCTGGGCTGGCTCTAACTGAGCATCTCTGACAGCTTGAAGCAGGTCCTGCATGCTGTGCAGCACCAAGCTGCTTCCCTGCCACGCTCCAGTCACTCGTGTCATCTGAAAATCTCCTGCAGCAGGGATGGAGTCCCTGTGTCTGTCTGTGGTGGAGTCCCTGTGTCTGTCTGTGATGGAGTCCCTGTGTCTGTGGTGGAGTCCCTCTGTCTGTCTGTGATGGAGTCCCTGTGTCTGTCTGTGGTGGAGTCCCTGTGTCTGTCTGTGATGGAGTCCCTGTGTCTGTGGTGGAGTCCCTCTGTCTGTCTGTGATGGAGTCCCTGTGTCTGTCTGTGGTGGAGTCCCTGTGTCTGTCTGTGATGGAGTCCCTCTGTCTGTCTGTGATGGAGTCCCTGTGTCTGTGGTGGAGTCCCTCTGTCTGTCTGTGCTGGAGTCCCTGTGTCTGTCTGTGGTGGAGTCCCTCTGTCTGTCTGTGATGGAGTCCCTGTGTCTGTCTGTGGTGGAGTCCCTGTGTCTGTCTGTGATGGAGTCCCTGTGTCTGTCTGTGATGGAGTCCCTGTGTCTGTGCTGGAGTCCCTGTGTCTGTCTGTGATGGAGTCCCTGTGTCTGTCTGTGCTGGAGTCCCTGTGTCTGTCTGTGATGGAGCCTTGCCTGGCTGTGCTCTCTCTCTCATGCTTACCACTGTGACCCCCTCAGTCCCCTGAGGTCATGGGCACTGTCCTGGCTGGGCTGCCCTCACTGTGTGTTGAACAAAACCTTTTACCAAAGTTCTCTGATTTTTCTTAAGCTGCCAGTGAAGTTTTTTGTTGTTTGATGTTGAGAATTTCTTGTTGGTATTTCTCCCATGTCTCTAACTCAGAGTACACAAAAAGCAGTAGTAAGCCTTTTAAAAGTCTGTTTGAGTGAGTTTTCTGGGCCCTTACTCCAGCAATCTGTTGAAAATCTGTGCAAAGTACCATTTACTACGTGATAAAAAAGACTTTGATGTGTTGAGGGATTGATCAGGTCAAAAAAAGAATCTGTTGTACTGAAAGCAATTGGCAATAAAAAACCAATTAAATAAACAGGTCTGTTCCTGCAGGCTGAAATAAAACAATTATCTACTGTTTATACTTTAGCAGCCAGAGATTCTTTTTCCCCCTGATGCATTTCCAAGGACTGATATTTTTATGTAAATATTCTGATGTTGTTTATGTGCTGGCGTAAGGATGAGGAGGATGTGATTCATGGCGGATCCTTCCCTCAGCACCGGTGACAAAGAAGGTCACACCAAGTGCCACTGGAGGCCGCGGCACTGGCAGCTGTCCCTTTGTGCCCCTGCAGGTGGTGATCATGAGGGATTACCACCACGAGAACGTGGTGGACATGTACAACAGTTACCTGGTGGGCGACGAGCTCTGGGTGGTGATGGAGTTCCTGGAGGGCGGCGCCCTGACCGACATCGTCACTCACACCAGGTGGGCTGGGCACAGGGAGCAGCCTGCACAGAACACACACAGACACTCAGAGAGCACAGATCCGTGCAGTGTGTGTGTACCAGAACTGAGCCCGTTGGTACACACCTGTGCCACCATCAGTAACAGAGGTGCAGCCCAACTCCTGCGAGCAGCAGCATTTGCTGAACCCAAGGGAAGGAAACACCTGGCAGGGCCTGGTGGGAATGGGGATCTGCTAACACTTTGGGAAGAGGTTTAGCACCAACACAGCTCTTATTCATTGCTTCCTAGAATGGAAAAAAAAAAAAAAAGTTATTTTTCCTTCTCCCTGTTCGGTGATCTGTATTTTTGGGTTTGCTGTCATAACCACCTCTGCTCTAAGGGTGATTTCTCCTCACAAAGGTTACCTGCAAACCAAGTCCAAAACATATAAGGGGAAAAGTATTTTTATGTCAGAATATTTTGTGCTTATGGTGGAGCACATTCCCATATTTCAGTTAATATCCCACCTTTAAAGTAGGAAATTGGCCAGCACAAGAGCTGCAGTGTATGGAACTGCTCTGCCTCTGCTGAGGGCAGACATTAGATTTTACAGCCCTCTTTACATCTGCTCTTTGCTCATCTGCTTCTGAGGAGATGGATAAAATGAGACAGGGAAGAGGGATTCTTTATTTAATTTCTCCTTGAATGAAAGAAAATTAGAATTTCCACACCAAACCAGTGGGAGAATATTTAGGGGAGCAAGAACAAAAGCAAGGAATTATAAATGAGAAAATTTGTGTTCTCTCCCAGTTAAATGGTGCTCTTAGATCCTACCAAGAGTTATAACACAGGTGTTTTACTTTTGAGTGTTACCTTAGCTTATGTGCTGAAATAAATCACAGTATGGCAAGTATTTGCCAAACTGTTAAAAGCTCTGTCTTAAATGTTTCTGACAGAAGTTTGACAGCAAACAGATGCTCCCAGGACACCACTTCTTAAGAGCTGTCATCTATTTTTAACTCAAAACAGTCTTTTCTTAATGTGCTGGGTGGTTTTTTTTTTACATTGCATGACCTTCCCTCAAAGATGCTGCTAAAATACTGCAAATGGCACAAATTAAAGCAGAAATCTCCACAGGTGTTCTTCTGCTCGTGTAAAAGAGATGCTGGAGACATCGGGGATGGGACAGGGGCACAGGGTGCCCAGCCCATCCCCGGCATTGCACTGTAGCTGGGAGAATGACCCCACAATGGGCTTTTCAGCTGTGCACAGAAATGAGGACTCTTGTTTGTTTTTCTGCTGAAATACCCAGAATATTTTTATAGGAAGGCATGAAAGTGCTCTCAAAGAGCTACAACCCAGGGCCTGATGTTTTGCCTACACAATTAAGGGTGGTTTTCCTCATATTTATTTATTCCACACCTGTTCCCATCCCAGTAGCGAAGCCTGCTTGGCAAGCAGCGAGCTTACTGTAAATAAGGCATTTCTGTGATTTCCCAGAGGGAAATTTCTGTGCTTTCCCAGAGCCCCCAGCACGTGGCACACTGGGCTTTTGGCACCAACGCAGAGCTCACTGCAGGGCCGCTGCCCAGCCTCAGCTGCCAGAGTCAGGAGCAGGAGCGGCCCCAGAGGCGCTGCAGGCAGATGTGTGATGGAGCTGGGGCCCGTCCCCTCCCCAGGCTGAGCTCTGTGTGTGTCCCCCTTGCAGGATGAACGAGGAGCAGATCGCCACGGTGTGCGTGTCCGTGCTGCGCGCCCTGTCCTACCTGCACCACCAGGGCGTCATCCACCGCGACATCAAGAGCGACTCCATCCTGCTCACCAGCGACGGCAGGGTGAGCCGGGCTGAGGGGCAGCGAGGGGCACCACGGGCTGGGAGTGACACAGGGAACCTGCTAGAGGCTGTGAACGACTCGTGGGAGAAGCTGCATCCAAGGAACACGGACCTGGCCTCGCTGGCGATTGGCATCTGTGCTGCAGGCAGAGCCCTTGGGGAGGAACTGGAGCCTCAGAGGCAGTGGCAGAGGAAACTAGGCAGTAAGGGTGATGATCAGTGATGGGAGACCTCTGTTTGGACTGCACCACTCCTACCCTGATGCCTTTCAAAAACACTTCCTTTGTACCACACTTAGTTATCATTTACTCAGCAGTTTCTGTACGTGTGCTTTGCTTCCCCAGGCTGGCTGGGAGGCCAGCATCAATCTGTGCAAATAGGAAATAATCTGCATTACTGCTGAAACCCTCCCCAGATGGTAAGAGTAGCGTTCACACTTCCAAGATGCCTGATAAAAGCTGTCCCACAGTTCCATGTGCGTTACTTGCTCTGCCTTTGTGTTGTTAATGAGCAGGGGGAGAAGGGCACAGAATGCTGCACAAGGCTTGCTCACTAAACAAAATGTGGTTTACACACAGAAAAAATTAGGGTTGCTCCCCTGGCCTTACACACCTGTCTAAGGCAAGACCTGAGGGTTGGACTGAGCCCAAGAGCTTTGGTTTGGCAGCAGATCCAGACTTCCCCTTCCCCAGGTAAAGCTCTTGGCTTCCAGGCCTGCTCTGAGTCCGTAGCCAAAGGCTGGCCTGTCCAATTTGATGCCCACTCACCAAGGGAGAGGGATTTTCTTCCTGCAGCAGCCACAGGCTGCTCCTCTTAATCCTGTCAAGGAAAGCCAATCCCACGTGTGTAGGAGTTGTTCAGTTGTGATTTCAGTTCATGTTGCTGGAATAACATCTGATCTGTGCCCAGGATCTGCATACAGTGCCTCATTATACTCATTACTCCAGTCCTCATTATCTGCATTGCAGATTTCTTCATGGCTGTGTTGTGCAATTATCTTTTTTTAGAAAATCCTCGTCTTTTATGTACTCCAATGAGCAATAGATATGCAAAACCTCTTGTGCTCCTACAAAAGAAGATTGGGCTCTGCTTCCAAAATATGCATTATTTCCTCCATTCTTCATCCTGTAAACTGAGAAATACATTTAGCGTGGAGCACTTGGCTATTATTGGCTTTGTTTTGGAAATACCAACAATCATTTCGTAATTCCGTTAAAAATAATATCCGTAACTTTAAAAAAAAGTAATGTCTGTGCTGAATCCAAAAGTGAGTGCTGACAATAAGCCCACACAGTGCAGGGATTTATGCAGCTTCCCACTCCAGCTGTCCTGGGGCTGGTTGGGCTCCCTCTGTATCCCCAGACACGGAGTACTTGATGGCATACACAGCCTGGGGACCTGGGGCGTGGGTCACCGTTGGACTGGGCAGGGATGGAGAGTAGGAAAATGTCCAGGAACATCCCTGGAGAGCTTCCAGGCCTCCAAGTAAGTCCTTGGAGAGGTAAAAAAAAAAGATTTTAGCCTTAAGGATCAAGCTGTTTCTGGAAGGGGTGATGCCACCAACCCTCAGACCAGCTTGTTGTGGAACTTTCACCTTGGCATTGTACAGCGACAGAGAGGGGGGAGGTGATAATTTTCCATAATTTTTGTTGTTAAAAAAAAACAGTCATAAAAGTGTGAGCCAGGCACATGATGCAGCAGGAGCTGCTCTCGGGAGTGCTCGTGTATCCCATAATTTCTATTTCAGGTCACTGCCACAGCTGCTCAAGGACAGCAGTGACTCCTGAGCTGCCAGCAAAGGGAGTCCTGTAGCCTCCCTGCCTCCTCCAGCTCTGCTCTCCCGCTGCCCAGAGAGGGCAGCTCCCTCAGTGACAGCCCAGTGCGAGGTCCTGGGCCTGGCAGACCCTTGGAAGGGTTTTATTTTCTATGGCTGATAAAAAGGAGTGGGGTGAATGCCACTTGTTCCCCACATTTTGTGGCAAACCCAGAGATTGTACAAACTGGTGCAAACCACAGGAGGGGTGGGTGTCACTTGGAAAATGTGTATTACTGGATATCACATATAGATAACTACAAGCATAGGAGTTCTGTTTGGAATATTTTGTTTTCCTTTTATTTTTAAGGGTTATAAGCCATGTATCACCTCCTCATCCTTTGCTGGTGGAGAGGCAATGGGCTGTGACAGATGACATCAGGAATGAGCACCAGTGGCACCCTCCTCCATCTCCCCTTCACTTTAATGTGCTGTGTGTTCCCGAGGCTGGGCTCCTGTGCCAGCCCCTCATCCAGGGCTGGGCTGCTGTGCTGCCCAGGAAAGCACTGCAGCTCCACCGCTGTGCCTGTGCCTGCAGCTGTGCCTGGGGGGGCTTGGTCCTCTCACTCAGGAGGGGCTTTTTCTTCTTCTTTCCACAGATCAAACTGTCTGACTTCGGCTTCTGTGCCCAGGTGTCAAAGGAGGTTCCCAGGAGAAAGTCCCTGGTTGGGACACCCTATTGGATGGCACCAGAGGTGATATCCCGCCTGCCCTACGGCACTGAGGTGAGCACAGACACTGCAGAGGGCATTCCCAGCTCCCTGTGGCACTGAGGTGGGCACGGGACACTGCAGAGGGCATTCCCAGCTCCCTGTGGCACTGAGGTGGGCACGGGACACTGCAGAGGGCATTCCCAGCTCCCTGTGGCACTGAGGTGAGCACAGACACTGCAGAGGGCATTCCCAGCTCCCTGTGGCACTGAGGTGGGCACGGGACACTGCAGAGGGCATTCCCAGCTCCCTGTGGCACTGAGGTGAGCACAGACACTGCAGAGGGCATTCCCAGCTCCCTGTGGCACTGAGGTGGGCACGGGACACTGCAGAGGGCATTCCCAGCTCCCTGTGGCACTGAGGTGGGCACGGGACACTGCAGAGGGCATTCCCAGCTCCCTGTGGCACTGAGGTGGGCACAGACACTGCAGAGGGCATTCCCAGCTCCCTGTGGCACTGAGGTGGGCACGGGACACTGCAGAGGGCATTCCCAGCTCCCTGTGGCACTGAGGTGGGCACAGACACTGCAGAGGGCATTCCCAGCTCCCTGTGGCACTGAGGTGAGCACAGACACTGCAGAGGGCATTCCCAGCTCCCTGTGGCACTGAGGTGAGCACAGGACACTGCAGAGGGCATTCCCAGCTCCCTGTGGCACTGAGGTGAGCACAGACACTGCAGAGGGCATTCCCAGCTCCCTGTGGCACGGAGGTGGGCACGGGACACTGCAGAGGGCATTCCCAGCTCCCTGTGGCACTGAGGTGGGCACGGGACACTGCAGAGGGCATACTGATGTACCCAGGGAAGGGAGTGAGCTGAGCAGGAGCTGCTCCATCCTCACACTGCTCTGGCACGGCACAGCAGGAGCACCCTGCAGGCACTGCTCTCCACCCAGGATCTGTGCTGTTGGAGAAGACATTCCAGAGATAATAGCATCAACTATTATTAGCCCATTAATAGCTTAGGGGGATTATAAAGTGGCTGAACTTAGGGCTGCATTAAGTTTCCCCACCAGAAGGGAAAGGGAAAAAAAAAAAAGGATTTAAGCTAGAGGATAGTGTTGGCAAAAGAGCAAAAGCAGAATGAACTGGCCCTGGCAGTATTTGGGCTGGCAAATGACAGGAATTACAGTCATCAGAGGATTCTGGAGCAGCTCTGCAGCAGGCCAGGACTAAGAATAAAAAAAGGTTTTTTTGAGCTAGAGCTGAATCACTTTCCAAAGGTGTTACATAATGTGCTACCTGTGCTGGCTGTAAACAAGGCTGGCTGTAGTGAGTGCTTGCATTTGCCTCGGGCTCTGGAATGGAGTTCCCATAGTCCTTAAGCTGCAGGGGAACAGAGTAAGTGATTCCAGAGCAGTGAAGTGTACCTGCTCTCCAGCAGCTGCAGGGCACCCTGGGGGACGCTCAGTGGGTGCAGGTCAGTGCAGCTGGAATGCAGGGCAGCAGGACACGGCCTCTCCAAGGCTGGAGCTTCCAGTGGGCAGCACCCGAGGCAGCTGCAGAGCCTGCTTTGTGAGCCCCTGCCGGTCTGGGCCGTCAGGCCCTCACTGCTAGAAGGAAAGCCGTGGCTGGCTGGTAAACACGAAACACGGATGGTGCCGGTGCTGGCTGGGCAGGCAGCAGGAGCCAGTGCAGTGCCAGCAGTGCCCCTGAGCCCCAGGCCATTGCAGGTGGACATCTGGTCCCTGGGCATCATGGTGATGGAGATGATCGACGGGGAGCCGCCGTACTTCAACGAGCCGCCGCTGCAGGCCATGCGCCGCATCCGGGACAACCTCCCGCCCCGCGTCAAGGACACGCACAAGGTCAGCCTTCCCTGGCCCTGCCAGGGCCCCGCAGGCACACCCTGCGTGTCCAAACGCTCACTGTCACCTCCAGGGGCCACTGGAGCAGTGGTGCCGCACAGGGCTCCGGGGGGGAGAAAGAGAGGCCCAAGCCGTCGGTCACGGCCTTGTTTGTGCCTGACCCTGGCGCTGCTTTTGCAGCCAGAGATGGCAAAGGGAGCTGGGCACAGCCCCAAGCTCCCTGTGCTTCCCAGCCTGCCCGAGGAGCAGAGCAGCCCAGCTCACTGCCCTGCTGCAGATGGGTTGGTACACCCACGTGAGGCACCAAAGCCTTTGGGCCCCTCCCAGTTAGGGGGTATTTCCATCAGCCCTCAGCCTAGCTTAATGCTGTTCTGTACCCCAGGGACACCCAAACACTCCAACCACCAGCACTGACCCACAGCCCTCCTGCTGAGCACAGTGTCCCTTTTGTCCCCCAGAAAGCAGCGTGCCCAGAGCAGCACAACTGCAGGGGGCGTTTGGCACCCCAACGCCCGTGTGTGTTTCAGGTCTCGGCGGTGCTGCGGGGCTTCCTGGACTCCATGCTGGTGCGGGAGCCCTCGCAGCGAGCCACGGCGCAGGAGCTGCTCCGACACCCCTTCCTGAAGCTGGCCGGGCCCCCCTCGTGCATCGTGCCCCTCATGAGGCAGCACAGGCACCGCTGAGGGGCTGCTGGGGAGGGGCGGCGCAGAGCCCGGCTCGTGGCTGCGGGATCGCAGGCAGGGAGCAGGAGGAGCAGCAGAGCCTTGAGGAGGAAGGCAGCCCTGAGGAAACGCTGCCGTGTGTACAGAGAGCCCCGGGGCAGGCAGTGCTCCCTGCTCCGCTGTGCCAGGGACAGGAGCAGGCCGGGCACCACGGCTGCCAGGCAGGGCACACCCATTGCCAGCCTGGGCGACGCAGCACCGAGCCAAACAGCTGAGCTTCACCGCGGGCTGAGGCACTTCTGGCTCAGAAGAACACTTTTCTGACAAACAAAGCACTTTTTACCTCGGCCAGAGCAGCGCAATGTATTTTGCAAGAAGTTTGTAATTTTCTGTACAGTACGTTTTGATAACTTGCAGTACTTTGTCATGTACCTGTTGTGTTAGTTAAGTAATAAGTGTAACTTAGAGAATTTGAGAAGATGAAGTTTCCTACTTTTTTAAGCCCTTTTGAAAACAGGAGAAAAAAAAGAAAAAAAAAAGAAACCACAGCCACCTTTATGAAGTTGTAAGGTTTTGCAGAGTTCCCATGGGGTGAGCAGGGGGCTGGTCCTGCCCTCACGGCAGGCGGGAGCGCCTGGCTTGGGGCACGGGGTGACAGAGGCAGCCCAGGCCAGCCCTGCCCCTGGCTGGGGAGCAATGCCCCTGCCCAGCCTTGGCCCAGCGGCCTCCCGGGCTGGCCCGGGCCCTCTCTTGCCAGGCCACCACCCCTGCTCTGCCACCACGGCGGCCTCCGTGACTGCTGTCACTCTCTGGCAGGGCACAGGGAGAGCAGCAGCGCCTCCTGCCAGCCCAGAGGGAGCCCCAGAGCCCTGGCATGGGATGGGTTGGGATGAGCTGCCAGCGTTTGCCAGAGAGGAGGAGTCGTGCTGCTGTCTAGACCTTTCTGAATGTTGATGCAACAGTTGACTACTGCGGTACAATTTTGTGTTATTTGTTGGATGACTTTGCATGTTAACTGTAGGCCTAAATAGATTTGCCTTTAAAATTTTTAGAAGTGCTTCATAATTATTTCGATGAGAAACTAATTTTATTTATTAACGATGAGTTGTTTTTAATTCTGTATAATATAAAAGCCATGTTTTTCAAGTTTGTTTTTTTTTTTTACTGACCTCATTTTATGGTATCTTTAAGAACCACAAAGCCAACTTTGTGAAAACACAGTTTTTTTCTTTTTATGAAATTTCATAGTTAATAAATTAATTGTTATTTATTGTAGTAAATTATAATCAAACATCTAAACCTGGCAGGAGCTGTTGCTTAAAGATCTTCCTCTGGGAGAAAAGAGTTGCCAATAGTAAAGAAGCTCCTTTAGTTCTGCCCTTAAAGAATATTTGGAGGGAGAGAAGCAATTTAAAAATAAACATGGAAGAGCTGTTCTTACATCAGTGTCTTACCCCAGTGCTCTCTCCCTAGCCCTGTTTGCACATTTGAAGAGGACGCTGAAGAAAAGGTTTGGCTCCCAGAGCCCACCCAGCAGGGAGCACCCCCAGCCTCCCAGGGCTCTCTTTTGTAGTCTTGACAACTCAGGAAACCAGGCTGCACCAGTCCAGGCAACGGCACAACTTAGCACTAGCTACAGAATTACCTTTTGTAACCATCTTTGGATAAAAAGGGGGTTGGTGGGAGTTTTTTCTTCAATATTCAGCACATTTTAGGCTGTACAAGTGAAGAATTTTCTGCAACTTTCTTATCATTAGATACTTTAAGCAGTGTTCATCGAGTTTACTGAGAGTTTTGTCAGTTTCAAAGGGGTTTTTTGTGAACACCAGCTACTGGTGGAACAAATGCACATGCAAGTTCAATAAATTCATTAATAAACACTTCAAGTTTCAGTGTGGTTTGTTTTTTCCCCCATGCCTTTTTTCTACTTTATAGATTTGATTCAGTCTCACAGTACTGGACCGAGCAGATAACAAAGGAAAAAAGTGTTCTTATAATATCTACTATTCTTTTACATATATATATATATTATAATATACATATTATAAGAATATATATAAAAAAGAAAAAAGTGTTCTTATAATATATATAAACACACAAGATACACATGAGTATGATACACATACATATATATAATAGTGATTTATAGAGCTGCCCTAAGTGATTTCTAAGTGTCAGTGCATTCCCACCTCCCTTTCTCTATCCCCTAAATAATCCCTGATTACACAGCCCCAGTTTTAGCTCCCAGCTCTTGGTCTCTCACACCTACAGTCGTTCCCAGTTTCCCCAGCAGCACCAGTCAGCTGATGAATCCACAATGTTATTTGCTACCTTCCAGTCTTACAGGTGAGGATTTCTATTACTTTTGGTTTCTGACATCAGTACATACTTCCAAATACATTGAAAAATGTCATGCCATCACCTAAAAACAAACAAATAAGGATGGGAAGAGCACCCATTCCCTCAGAAGCTGAGGCTGATGCTCCAGTGAAATGACTCCCACCTGTCAGTAGGGAATGGTGGCTGTTTCTGAGCTCACACTTCTAAAACTACTCCCAAATACTCCTCACGTGGGAGCAGAGGCCAGGACGTTTCCTGGCTATGTCAGCCCCCTCCTCAGCAATAGAGCAATAATTTATAATTAAAGTCGTAATCACAAGTACTCTGTAAGTCATTAGCAGCTGCTTTAGTAAGTGCCTAATTATTACAGGTCCTTGCAGAGCTCAGGAGGGTGATAAGGTGTATTTATCCACCTTCTGCTGCTGTGTTCATAAACATCTAGAAAGCAAAGCTTTCCATTTGCAGCTCACCCATTAAAAGCCATCAATAAATGAAAGCTAAATGCTAAATTAAATCACAACAAAGTGCTGCCGTCCTGAAGATGCTGCTGCAGTTTGACAGGCAGGAGGGAAGTTGGACATAATCTCTCTCATAAATAATTTTTTATAAATAGGCTTGAAAAGCTTAAAGCAATGGAGAATTCAGATCAATTTTAGTAAATGTGAACAAAAGGATGGGGAGAATGAAAAGATTTTAAAAGGTTTTCATCCAAGAGCTTAAATAACATTTTTTTTCAACCAAGATGCATCAGTCCGGGACACAAACTGTCCCTGACATTAAATTATTGTTTCTTTTTCCTTTCTTCCCCAAAAAGCAAAGCCATGTTTTCTGTCAGTTCAGAAAATCAAGAAATGAATGATTGCATTCCTGTGTTCCCAGTAGGTTACAGACACACTCACCCCCTGAAGGTGAAGGCAGGTGCTTCCTAAGGGAAGCCCTCACGTGCCAGGAGAAGCAGCAGAAGCCCTTCAGGCAGGCACAGGAGCAGCTTCAGCTCTTGGGGCAGTGTCCCCATCCAGCGGGCACTGCCACCACCGCAGGGCTCTGGGCCGGTCCCTGCGAGTCCCCGGCAGGGTCAGTGCAGGATGCGTTAAGGGCAGGTCCCAGAGGCCAGCACAACCGGCCCTTGTCCATCTCACAGCCACGCGGATGTTTGGGAGCAGCTCCCTGTCCGGCAGGCAGTGCTCACGGGAGGAGGCACAGCAAGGGACTGCCACCCCTGGCCCGGGCACAGCTGCCCCGGAGCCACTGCCTCCGCTGCAGGCACACCGAGCAGCCCGGGCAGCTCCGTGAACTGCCCCTTCCCAGGGGGGACTGCCCTCCGAGGGACGGGGAGGGCTCCAGGGGGGCACTCTCCCATCTCTCCCACGGCCCCTGGCCAGAGCGGCCTCTCCAGGAGACACATGGCAGTGGAGGGGCTGCTCTGGCATCTGCAGCTCAGCTGTTGGCTGCCGTTTTGTGTTTGATTGTTCTTTGGGAGGTCACAGCGGCACATGTGCCAGGCTGATGGGAGCCGGCTGGGAGAGCCTGTCTGGCCCCAGGGCAGACAAGGGTGAGGGAGGACAAAGCTCCTCTCTATTAAGGATGAACCTTTAATCCTTTTATTCACCCTCCTGCTACCTCTGGCTTTCTCTAACTGCCTCTAAAAGAACCTTTTCTTTTCTTTTTTAATTACCAGCTTCTTGTAGGCAGTGGCACTTGGTCAGTCTAAAGCTCACCCAGGACCCTTTCAGTGCAGTTCTAAAGGAAAAGGGCAAAGCCACTATCATTGTTAGTGCCATAATTTTGCTTTTTGCATCCAAATGAGAAAACAGCTGAGCATAACACAGAAATGAGACCAGGAATGAGGCAGGACTAAAGGAAGGCTTATGCTGCATCCACCTTCATCAAAAAACCCATACATTTTGGAGGAGACTACAGCATTAAAGAACAGTTAAGTTTCTTCTCTTACCTTTTTCCAACATTGAAATAACTATTTTTGATTGAGTTTTAAGCTGAAAGAAAACAATCAGGCCGCTGAATTAAATTAGTTTAAGAACAAGGTAGTGTTTTCCACACCCTAAATTGACACAAGGCCTGGCCTAACTCCTGCTGAGGTAACACTGGAGCCAAGGGGAGTCAGAGGGCTCAGTAGGAATTGGACTGTACCAGAATAAAACACATCATTGCCCACATAACACAATGGAAAAACAACCAAAAGATAGAAGAAAATTAGGGACAACCAACAAATCAGAGAACACTGAACCACCATGGTGTCTTCACCAAGCCATTTGCAGCACAACCACTGCTGGAATAAATCCTGCATGTGCCATCCACTCAGATTTGTGTTCTGGTTCCATTGGTACCGTGGAGCGAGCACACAGCATTACATCATTTCAAATTAAGAAGGCAAATCAAGCATTATGTATGTACATGTTTTAATTAATTTTAAAAATCGTCTACATTTAAGGATAGATTTCAAGGGTTCCCTTATACTTTTTCTGTTACATTAGATTATACCTGAATAATCTGCATAGTAACTTTAACATTACTGTTTTCTTTTTCTCTTTTTTTTTGTTTTGTTGTGAAAGTTATCAGTTGCAGGTAGCAATGTAACATCTCAACCACAATCACAATACGTGCAGGATGCCCAGCCAGAAGCATTTCTCAGTTGACTTGCAGTAGCATGGCACTTTATAATTTGTGTATCGATACTGTTTTTCTTTTTTTTTTTTTTTCCTAAGTTTACTTCAGATGTAGCTCAAGAAGCAAAAACAAACTTTCTTCGCCCAGTCTCAGGTGTGGGGTCAGCTCCACAGCTGTGATCTGCTCCACTGGAGTTACTGACCTTGAATTTATTATTTTTTTTTCCCAAAGCACACCTGCATTTGCCTCCATGCTTTCCTTAACATGAGTGCAAACTTGGGGATGTGGTTTGAGTCCCATCATCAGAGGGCCTGAATGAGCCCTGTGCAATGGCTCTGTCTCCAGCCCTGCTTCCTGCATGGACAGGAACGTGGAGGGCTGAATGCTCCAAAGGTGACGAAGGGGAGGTAAGACTCTCTTGGGATGGGGAAAAGGAAAAAAATAAATAAAACAAGAAAGCTAGTTGTGCTCCCAGTGTGAAACTCTGACATGTGAAGCCTTTCTGTTCCAGATGATCAGCCCAGCTGCTTGAAGAAGGTATTCAAACCACCTACAGACACCGACTGTCCTTCCAGAGGCTGTGCTAAAGCCAAGCCTTAGCCTGGGTGTCTCTGTGAAACGCCCAGGATGAGGTGCTGTGAATACCATCCCTTGCCCCCCAGAACCTTTCCTCACCCACAGAAAAAAGTGCTTTTGCTTTTTCTACCTGATCAGTGCCTGCGTGTCCCGGTGCTGCTCCTAGCCCATGTGTTTGTACTGAGATCTGTCCCGAGGGATCTGCACCTGGCTGGCTGTCAGCTTGTGGTGGATGTGGTAGATGCCCAGGGTGACCACAATCACCAGCCCCAGGATCAGCCCCAGGATCAGGGGCAGCGTTTCCTCCAGCTGCTCCCGCTGGTCCACCGGGCACTTGTGCTCTGCAGGGAAGGAAGAGGGAAAGGGACGTGGCTGAGACTGCAGGGCAAGGAACAGGGGAAAGGGACGTGGCTGAGACTCTGCAGGGGAAGGAAAGGGGAAAAGGGATACGGCTGGGACTCTGCAGGGGAAGGAACAGGGGGAAGAGGGGAAAGGGACATGGCTGAGACTCTGCAGGGCAAGGAACAGGGGAACAGGGATGTGGCTGAGATGCTGTGAGCTGTGGCTCCCCGGTCACGGCTCCATGCAGGACGGAGTGGCTGCAGCTGCCTGCAGAGCCCTGGGGAGAAAATCAATTGCCTTGGAGCAAAGTGGAATCACTCACAAAGCAGGGAGAGGTACATCTATCAAAGCAGCCCACGCACTGGAAAAACACTGCCATGCCCATAAGCCCAGCCCTCTCTGCCACACATGGATGGCCTTGTTGGGAACGGGGCAGCCGAAGCCTGAGGTTCCCGAGTGCCCCAAGAGCTGCTTTGTTTATCCAAGCAGAGAGTCTGGAGAGGCCTCAGCATCAGGAAGGCTTTAATTGTGCACCAGACTCACCCTGCACATTACCCAGAGACTGCCCCTCTACCTGCAGGCTGGCAGAGTGGAACAGCACCACTGCCCCTCTCTGTGAGCTCCCCAGGGACACAGAACCAGCCCTGGCAGAGCACAGACGTGTGTCTGTGTCAAACAGCACCCCACACTGTCCACCAAATACAGCAAAGGAGCAGCAGAAGCAACATGAGCCCCGCCAGTGTTCTTGTCTCTGGCTGATGAGTCTCTGCCACAGCCTAACAAACCACTAGAAAATAGTGATGCATTGGGAAAATACTTTTCTGCTGAGCTTGGAAAGGCCACTAGGGTCAGGAGCACCGGTAACCCTGGCTCAGCTCCCTTACACTTCCAGAGTCTACTGCAGGCCAGGGGGACAGGACCAGGATGCACATCTTTCCCCACAGGATTGTTGCTTCTCCGTGCTGATGGACAGGCAGGGCCCATGCTGCTGAGATAGGGCTGCCGGGCTAGAAAGGAGAAAAATGCCAGTTCTGGGGGGGAGAAAAGGGTACGTGATACAGGAAGGACAATTCTCTGTCTTCATTGTATTAGAAATGTGCTGGAAACAACGACAACTTTAAAGGGGGAAAAAAAAGGGAAAATAGAAAAGGTGTGTGTTAGATGAACAAATACAAAGGGCACCACAATGTCCCCCCTTGCTAAAGACTGTCCAGATGGGTTCCCCGGGCAGCTGAGCGCAGAGCTCTGCAATAACCACGAAGAGCAAATGCTCCACAAATCTAACAGCATGTGGCAAAGAGCAGGAGAAACGCAGAGAGCCCCGGGCCCAGGCAGGAGGTGACAGCAGGGACCCATCTCCAGCGGTGCTGGCACCTCCAGGAGCTCCACCACGTCCTGGAGTGCAGCCTCCTGCCAGCAACGGCATCAGGAAACATTTCAAGCTGCAAATGAGCTAAAACAAAAAAAAGCAAAAGTGGAATGTTGTCTAACACACAAGAATGTCCTTTTCAGTTCCAGTTGCTCACTGCTTCACCAGAGGAGTGATTAATCACCAGGACTGTGGCACAGGCGACTCAGCAATTGCTGCAATGCAGGGGTTTTGTTTGTTTGTAGTGAGGAGAACGGGGGGTAACCCCGATGGTTACTTAGCTCCCAGAATTGGGTTTCTAGTGCTCTGTGGAATCGTTCCCGGTTCAGGAGGCTAAGGCCTGGGCAGCTCACAGGGACACAAGGCCAGGCAGAGCTGACTGCAGGAAAAGGCACTCAGGGGCAGTGTGTGGGGCCAGGGCTGCTGTGAGCCCACTCCCCACAGGCACAGGGCAGCACCATTGCCATGGAAGGAGCCCAGCTCCAGGAGCTGCTGTGCAGCCCCGTGGCTGCAGACAGCCTGTGCTGAGCTGCCAACCAGCACCAGAGCACTCTGGCTGGACGCTGGCTCCTGCTGGGGAAGGGGCTTAGCTGAAACCAAGAGACGATGGAAAGGAGCTGCTGGAAACCCAGCTGAGAGGATTCCCCGTGCTCAAACACACACCAGCTTTTCCTTGCACCTTTCCCCAAACAGCAACGCTCCAGGAGAACAGGCTGGATGTGGGGGCTGCAGCCAGTGGAGAAGGCAAAGCTAAAAGCACCAGTGCAGAAAGCAGACCCAGCTCTAAAGCCCCCACTTGTAACGTTTGAATTCCACCGAATTTTGCCAGGGCACAAAACACGCCAGAGGACGTGGCCAGAGATCCACGGGCCACAGAAAGCCAGGCTGTGTTTAGGGGTCTGTGTCACGACTCAAAAAGGTGTCAGCTCCTGCAAGCAACCAAGGAAGAGAGCTCTTTATCCTGACACTATTTTTAAGAGGATTAAAATAAAATAAAAAAAGAAAGCCAACAGGAAGGAGAAAGAAAGAAAAAAAAAAAAACAAGCAGCAAGCAAAGCTGTCAGTGTCCAGCAGCACATCCCCAAACCCAGCTGCACCCACTGCACCTCCCTATGCCCTACCCACACCTGCTCCTCACCAGAAACATCCATTTTCTCCTTTTGGAGCAGACCACCAAAGCCTGGGCTCTTTGGAGACTGCAGGGGGAATGGGAATGGGGGATGCAGTATGGAGGCACTGGGAAGTGCAAAGCACAAACACATCTGCAGCAGAAGTGAGGCTCTCTGGGTGCTTACTGCTAGGAGACTGAATTCTCTATTTTAACATTAATATCATATTAATCCACATAATTTTATGACAAATAAAAATTCTTGCACACTTATAAAAGGGTACTTTAACATTTATACAGCATTTTTCACCCCAAGAATTCAAAGCAAAGGCACTGAGGTCCACAACACAGCAGGGAGGCAGGCAGGCAGGCAGCAGGTATCATTCCTGCTCCATCAGCACAGGAACAGGCAAAGGGGAACAGGAGGATAGAAGGGTTTGGACAAATTTGGATGTTCAACCCCCTCAAGTATGGGTAGGTTGGCGCTTGACAAACAGAGAACCACTGCACTGGGAACAGCTACGATTTCAGATTAATGACCCTGCAGGAAAACAGCCCTTTCTGTCAAAATTCCCCAGTATTTCACCCCAGGTCCCAGGATCTCAGCATTCCCCAGTTCCTGGGGTTACCCTCGGCCCAGGGAAGCAAGCAGGTCCCTGGCAATAGGGAGGAAGCTGGGGCTGAGCCGGGAGCTGTGCTGCCCCCCAAACACGGCCGGGTCACCCCTCTGGCAGGGCGGTGCCAGCCCCGCTCCCTGCACCCAGCGCCCACCGCAGAGGGACACAAGGGAGGTGCTGAGGTGCGTTCCTCCCCCCTCTGTGCTGCGCCTCCTCCCAGGCTCACGTACCGCCACGGTTTCTATGGTGAGCGCTCGCCCGGTTCCAGCAGGGGCTGTGAAACCACCTCAGAGCCCATTTTCCCTTCCAGAATCCTCTGCAGAGCACACGGCAAACAGCCCGGCCGGAGGCACAGCGCCCTCCAGCCCGAGCATCGGCACAGGGACCGGCCCAAGGGGAAACAGCCCAGCTGTGTCCGGCAGGACAAGGGGCTGGCATTTTGAGATGGGAGCTTGTAAGTAGACACTTCAAAAATTAAACAAACAAGGACCAGGTGCTTTAAAAAAGTGGCTGCATACCTTGGAGCAAAGGACCCTTGAGAAAATGTGGCCCTCAAGTGGGAGGCTGCAGCTCCCTCTGAGCCACCCCAGGATCCCAGTCCCTGATTATCAGCTGTTGTATCCCTTTGTATTACTATTTTTCATCATATTGCTTTATATTCGAATTTTTAGATATAAAATCAAAAGAGCTGACACTTTCTCTGGGGTTCTTCCATCAGTTTAAATCTTTTCCCACCCTCTTGATCCAGCTCTCATTTTACTCATCTTCTAAGCTGAAAAATGTACACACATTTTCCCCTATTATAAAAAAATAAATTAGCAAAGTCTGATTGAAAAAAAATTCTGCTGCTTCTCTATTGAAAATTAAAAAATAAAACAAATAAATAAATGTGCACTTGTGAAGGTTGGAAGCAGTATCTCAAAAAAAAAATACTCTAGCACATGAATTTAAGCATTCAAAAAAACCAAAGACAATCCAGTAATTCCCTACAAGCTGTTTAACCTATCCCTGCCAGGACAGTGTCAGGACTAATGAAGAAACCTTTCCCCCATTTCTTTGTGGAAAACAGGCCCGACCCTCCTGTGCCTTAGTGATTCTTCCGCTCTAGCAGGTCTCTTTCTCTCCTCCAAAATATTTTAAAATGTTCTGTAGCTTGTTCATAATTAATAGGAATTTCACCTAATGGGAAATTAATGAAGCAAAAAGGAGAAGGCTAATTACTGTAATGTGAGATTGGCAGTGGTTCTCAGACCCCACAATGGATGCTGCTGTGCCACGCGTGTGCCGAGGCTGGAGGGAACGCGGCGCTGGGAGAGCAGCAGTGCCCTGGATGGAGGTCCATTGATAAATCACCTCCCAGCCCCTCTGACCACCCCTCCAGGTGCCCTCTGCTGCTCAGCTTCCAGTGGAATTCAACAAAAAGGAGTGTAATTCAAAAATGAGAGCAACAACTACAGAAAACCCCATTGTGCCTGACAAAGAGAGAAGCCATGCTGTCCTCCAGAGGAGGAATTCCCTCCATGTGTTTAAAGATTGCTAAAGAAACATCATGTCTTTGTGTGCTGGAAAAAAGAAAAGCCCACCAAACTACAGCAACAAAAGAGAAAACAAAATAGAAACAAATTTGCTGCCTGACAGGAAAGAGCATATCATGAAAACAGCAGGTAGGTTCCTCTGGCAGTGAGCCCCAGGTTTGGTTGTTTTAACTGGGAGCTCTAGGACTTCACAGGTTTGGTATCACAGAGACACAGCCTTGCACATTTGAAACACTGTTCTCATCCCCCAAGGTCTGCCCAGCCCAACCCTGAGCACAGGAATCCTGGATACACAGGAGAAAAAAGAGGGTAAAGCTACTCCAACAAAAAAAATTACAGCAAACTATCTAGTTCTACTTTTTTCTCCCTGTAAATCTATGAAAAATGTGGTACTACTTTGATACAAAAACACCCTGCCCACGGATAAAGCCTACTCAGTATTACACTGGCCTTGCTGTGAGTAATTCAGGCAGGCAGAGCTCTGCCAGCACACGCAGCAGCACCAATTTACAACATCGGTGAGAGGACGCGAGTCGTGAGGGCAACCACTCAGCTCTGCAGTCACTGCTGGGCTTCCATTGTGCTCCAAAACATTTCCCACATGCAAAATAATAAAGCTCCACGCTTTTAATGCTAGGCTTGAATACCACCATTTGCTAACTCATTATTAAAAGAGTTGGCCATTACACGTTTTGTTTGCACCTGATTACAATAACGGGCTTAACTGATTTTAGCTAAGGCAGCACTGTGAAATGGGACTGGTCTGCCCTAATCCAGGCATGGCTACACTGCCTCATTCAGCCTGATGGGAAAGCCAAGGGGGAGCACCATGGGTTCCTTGGGATAAAGGAACCTGAGACTGCAGGAACCCTGTCCCATGGCAGCACTGCTGCAGGCTCCAGTGCAAGCCTTTGATACAAAGAGCATGTTGTAACTCAGGTTTTCTTTTCTTCACCACGGATGTTAAGGAACCCCAGAAGCAGAAAGGCATCCCGGGTGTTGGGGCTCCAGGAGCCTCACTGAGGTGCCTGTTTCGCTTCCTTCCCCCTCACAATGGGCATTAATCAAACTGGAGCCAGGAACGTGCACCCCCAGCAAACCCTGCCACTGCAGCCCCCAGCTTCCCCCAGCCTGCAGCAGCCCTAAGGAGCCCCTGGGGCCGTGCTGAAGCATTTTTGTGCTGCAGAGGAGACACCTCAGCCTTGCAGGGCTCCCCAGGGATGCTGCACTGGGGCTTGCTGGCAATCTGACTCTATGAGTACTTACAGAAGACAACGTACATACAACGATGGCCCATGTTTTGGCAGCGGGGCTGAATTTGTAAAGCCTTTTGGGGGACCACAGAGGCAAGGAATGGGTTGGAGGGAGTGCAGGGAGCACTGGGGACAGGCTGCAGTGAGGGGAAGGCGGCCCCGCAAAAGGTGGGACCCAAATTCCTTCAGTAGATTGCAACATCCCCAAAGGCCGTGGCACCATCAGCACCTCGGGGATGCGGGACGTGCCTCTGCCTGCTCCTTACCTTCACTGAAGACAAAATCCGCGGGGATGTCGAAGGGCTGGAGCCGCACTTCCGACAGCAGGAGCTGCACGGACTTCTGGTGGTCGCTGGACACGAGGGAGATGGTCTGCTGCGCCTGGCACTCGTAGGACCGCCCGGCAGGGGTCACCAGGGCCGAGAGCCGGTGCGAGCTGGCCGTGTGCTTCCCGGCTGCCCAGGGACACACACGGGTCAGGCCCGGCCCCGAGGGGAACTGAGCCAACGAACCGAACGGGCGGGACACGGCCGGGGCGCAATGCGGCAGCAGCGCCTGCTGCTCCCGAGGCTCCTCCCGGGGTGCGACCCGGCTTTTGGGGGACACCCCGCACAGCCAGGGCAGCTCCCACACCGGGATGGGCTCCCGCGAGCGGAACACAGCCCCCGCACACGGAGCTACCCCACAAAGCGCAGAGCTGGCCCTGCTGCCGCCGGCTCCGCTCCTGCCGCAGCGCCTGGAGTCCCTACCGTGACATGGCGCCCGCTCACACACACTCGGGGTGCAGCCCGGGACCGGGGCTGTGCCCCCACATTTGGGGAACACCCATTTCCGAGGCTGCACGTGGGCTCTGAATCCAGGCGGGAAGGGGCAGTGCCATTGGGGACCACCCCGCAAAGCAAGACAGGCCACAGAGCCCTTCCTGAAAACAACAGGGCCGTTTCACCCAAGTATAAATTAGAGAAAATATTTCCCCACCATACCGAGCTTGTTTTGCAAGCGAAGGCCGGCTGCGGCTGAGCCAGGTGGAATGAGGGGTATCTTCCACCTCCCGCTTTCTGCAGCCCTTTGTTCCCCTCGGCAGCACAAAAAGGCAATCAGGGCTTCACACGGGCAGGGGCTGATGCGGCACGGCCGGCTCCGTGCTCTGGGGACTCAAACAGTGGGAACACAGCCCCAAAACCAGCACGTCTTATGGCAACAACTCTAAACGCCCTATCCGCTGGAGTTGGAAAATTGCGGAGAGAACTATTTGCAAGTGACAATATTTCATTTTCCAATTCAAGAGAACACATTTCTGAGCCGAAATGAAATAAAAACAAAATGAAAACCAAAAGAATGGAAATCCAGTGAGAAAAAAAGGAGGCTGCTGGGTGCGGAGGTGCGTGGGGGTATGATACTAATGTCAATCTCAGGTATCTCGGGGAACTGCTGCTTTCCCACGTATTCAACAGTCATCAGGATTAACCTCAAAAACAATCTCCCCGCAGGAAAGGAGACAAGCTTTTCCAGCCCAGGTGTCTCCCTGTCCCGTCCCTCGGGCCCTGGGTCCCACAGGACAGCGCAGCAAACGGGCAGAGCTGGGCTCTCCCTCCTCCGCTAACCGCGGTGATTAAAAACAAGGGAAAAAAAAAACCAGCGGAGAAAGAAAATATTAAACATGCGGTTTAAAGCCGGCAGCAGGTCCCGGCTCTGTCGGGAGGCTTTGGGGTTTCCTTTTTCCCGAAGCTCCATTGAGGAGCAGCCCGCGGAGCGCTCCCCGCGCCCGCCCGCCGGGATCTCCCTGAACCCCCGAGCCCGGGCGCTTACGGCTGACGGCATCCTTGAAGTAGGTGCGCTCGGAGGTGTCGTACGTGAACTGGATCCGGCTGAGCTTCCAGGACGCCTCGGGGCCCCGGGACGTGTTGTGCCCCTCCTGCCGAGACAGACAAGGCCGGTGAGGAGCCCGCGGAGCCGCCGCGCCCCCGGCCCGCTCCCGCCGTGCCCGTACCTTGAGGAAGGAGAGTTTGAGGGTGTACGCTTGGTCCAGCCACGAGAGCTCCAGCTCCGACTCGTTCGTGCCGCACTTGCCCTTCATCTCGGCGCCCCGCGACAGCGGGATATCGGCTTGCTCCGTGATCAGCTGCAAAAGGGAGCGGGGCTCAGCGGGGCGACCCCCGAGTCCCCCCACCCCTGCCCCGGCTGAAAATCCTCGGAGGGAATAAAGGACTTTCCGAAAGTAGCGGCAGCTGTGCGCGCGCGTGTGTGCCCCCTGCCATCCCCGGTCCTGCCGGAGCCCCGGACCCCCGGGCCGCACTCACATCCACATAATTGCTGGCCCACACGTCGTAGGGGACGATGAACTTGGCGGCGAATTCGGCCATGAGACACGTCGTCCGGTTTTCCCGCACCACGAAGATGTCCTTCTCGGGGTTAGGGGAGAGCCCGGAGAGGTTTTCAACTTCTTGCTCGGCGGCCAGGCGAGCCGCGGCGTCTGCGGGCACAGCGGGGCTGAGCGCCGGCAGCCCGAGCCTCTGCCGCTCACCCCAACACCCCCCGCCGCCCCGAGGCCCCTGGAGCGAGCTACTCTATCGCGACGGGGCGCTCCTGTCGCGACCGAGCAGGTGGAGGCGATGTGGCAGCCGGCGGCGGTGATGCGAGACCGGTGCCGTGACAACGCCGGGTCCGTCAGCGCCAGCGGCTGCCCGGTCGCGACAGGGCTCCGCGTCGCGACTCGCCACCCAGGTACTCACGCAAGATGAAAAGCAGCCCCGGGAGAAGCCCCCCGGCCATTCTCCCTGCTCGGTCCCGGTGTGGCCGCGGCTGCTGCAGCTGTTCCTCCGAAAGGTCCGCTCCGGAGAAAAGAAAAAAAAATTAAAAATAAAAAGGAGAGGGGAAAAAAGCCGCACACCTCCTTCCTCAGGAGCCGCACCGGCTGCAAAAGCACTCTGCTGCGGAGTGGCGGGGAGGAGGGACGGGGAAAGTGTGTGGGTGTGCGGGGAGGAGGAGGAGGAGGGGAGATGCCGGCGGAGCTGATGGAGCGCCCACGCCGAGGGACGGGGCGTACGCAGCCGGGCGGGGAGGAGGGAGGAAGGGATTCCCCCCCTCCGGCGCCGGGCCCCGCGGAGGGGCTGCCGGGGATCCCCGCGGAGCTCGGGCCGAACGAGGCGCGGCTGGAGCGGAGCGGGCTCACCCCGAGCGCTGTCCCGGCAGGGCCGGCGCTGGCAGCGGGCCCGGGACCCCTCGCCCCGCGGTCCCTGCCGGAGAGGCCGGCGGGATGGAGGAGGGGACACCTATTCCTGTGCCGGCTGCTCACACAGCGTCACTAATTTCGGTGAAGGCGAGCAGCTGCTCCGCGTGTTCATTTAGGAAGAAACGTGCGGTTATTTTTTGCGGCAAGGTCGGAAGCAAACGCGCATCCTTCTGTGAGCGGCCGTGGGCACACCTGAGCTCTAAAATGTCCCAAACCACAAGGCGCACCGTAACATAAAACCCAACAGGCCGAGAAGGTGCTTTAAAACAGGAACAACACGGCCCGTGCGGGTGTTTTGTGGGCACAGGCAGGAGGAGCGCCTCGGAGGCGGGATGGTGGGAACCGAGCCGGGGCACTCAGGGTTTGTCCCTGGCCGGCTCCAAGGTGCGGCACAGCGAGGGAGAGGGGCTGCGGGGCGGGGAGAGAGCTCGGGGGGCTGCCCGCCCCCTGCCCTGCCGGCCCCGGGCCCTCAGCCCCGAGCCAAGGAGCGCCTTCCCTCCCTCGCTGCCAGCCGGGCCCGGCAGTGCGGGCGCTCCCAGCCCGGCTGCGCTGCCGCTCCGTGCGGGGAACTGCGGCCGGCCCCCGTGCTGCTCCCTTGCCCGGCTGATGCCACCTTGAAATATTTCTGCCCCCTCGCACAGGGACTTTTTTTTTGAGCTTTAACGCGCTGCCACTCTCGCCCCGGCGCCAGGAGCACATCCAAATATTTACGATTTACAGCGACACCAGTCCCAGGAGCAGCGGGGACGAAGGGCCCTACACTGACGATGGTTTTTCGGTAAAAAGCCATAGGGACAGCAGCCATCTGGAGTGATAGCGTTACTGGATTCACTACCAATTCCCATTTCTAGTTCAGGAAAAGGCATCTGGAGGAAACCGTCCAAGACATTGCCATCCAAGGTGAGTTTTGATTGTGGGCAGCTGCCCTTTCTCTGCCAGGGCACACACTTGCAGAGAGGAGCTTTCTTGCTGGGAAATGGCTTTTAAAAAAAAAAAAACTGATACTGAAGGAACTTTTTTTTTTAAACTACAGTGTTGAAATTTCCTTTTATGCTTTCTGTACATATTAAATATATTCTGACCATTTCCTTCTCTCTCTCTCCTACTTCATGATGAAAAGCCATTCCCACACACCCCCAAATACCTGTGACAGTCAGACCTGTGTCAGTTGTGGCACAGGATTAGCCTATGGATAATTATTTAAGGGGACTATATAAAGGGAAAAAAATTAATCTTGTAGAAAATAGAACCTTTGACTGTAACAGGCTGTACTTCTGTGATGATTTTAGTGCCTGGCTTCCTCAGGTCCTACACTGATGAGCTGAAGGTAGTGTTTGACTGCCCTTTATTTCCTTTTCTTCTCCACTATTTAATTTCCAGCCTTTTTGAAGATCCTAGGTAGATTATAATGCCCAAAATACATGATTCTGAGCAGCTGCCCCTGCATCCAGCCTGTGCAGGAGGGTCCAGGGAGCAGCTGGGAGAGAGCAGCTGTGCTGGATGCAGGGGCAAGGCTGCCCCCCAGCCCAGAACTGTGCTCCCCCAGCTGCACAGCACAACAAAGCCTTCAGCTCCAGGGACAATTGCCTCTTCCAGCCTGCAGAGCAGCCTTCATCCTGCTCTCTGGGGCAAATAAAAGGGAAAGGCCTAAGACTTCCCAGCACTGAGAAACCCCCAAAACACAGAGCAGGAGGGTCTCACCCAAGCGAGCCAGTGCAGCACCAGCCACCCTGAAATGCTGTGACCAGGGACAGTTCATGGTCCCAGACCAGGTCCCCTGAAACCACTCTGCCACCTGCCCTTACCCCCGGCTCTGGAGGCCACCGGGGCGTCTCTGAAGGCTGAATCCCCCTTGCTGCCCCCAAATACCAGACCTAACAGCTCTTACCAGCCTGCTGGAAGGGAGCACACAGCACGGGGACAGCCAAGCTGCAGTGCTGGGACCACTAGTGCCACAGCCAGCAGGAACAGGGCTTTAGGTCCAATCAGCATTTACCACTTGCAGCTGGTTTCACAGGAAGCACCTGAGGGTGATTTGGGGTGATTTCTTAACTGCATGCAGGTGGTACAGGGGGTTAAATAGGCCCCCACCTGAAAGCAATCAGGTTAACGACAACCCCCAAATTCCTGCAGGTGAAAGAATAGCAGGCTGCCTAGGTGTCATGACCCTCCCCAGCACAGCTGAGCTGAATTTATCTGAAGTGATTCGGAGAGGGAAAATCTGCCACTACCCTCCATGAAATTTCACTGAAGTGGAATCTATCACCCCGGCAGGGAATGACATTTTAAACTGCTTTAACTCAGTATCAATGTTCAAATTGATTAGCTTATTTCATCTCAATGGAAATTTTCACCTCATTACATTAGCAGCCAAACTTCAAATAATTTTTGAATCAAATACTGCTTAAACAGTATTTCAAAACACTTAGCTGACAAAATTCATCACTTAATTTCAAATTACTGCCTGCATTTTATGCTAAATTGTCAGTGGATGAAATAGGTATCAGTGTGGGGAGCTGAGGCTGCAGCTGAGCTCTCCTGCTCGGCAGTTCCACAGAAGCCCATTTTCCTGTCTGAATTGATGGATGGCTCGCTGCTGGCTGAGCAGGGAGCACAGGCTCAGACAGGGGCTCTGGACAGTATTTTCTGTCCTTCCAAAACCTGTGTTTTCCCCTGAGGGGATGGGATGCTCACCAAGGAATTAAATAGGCAGGTTTGATCTTCTCAGGGACGTGCCCTCCATTCCCAGTGGTTTCTTTAGCAGGGCTTTCCAGCCAGGCTCTACATGAGCTTAAGATGCTTCACCATCCAGTTCTCTCCATACCTGGTCTGTCATTTGCTCCTCCTTACAGGCTAAAACCACTGCAGTAGGCAACAGTGTACAATTCCAGCTCACAGCACTGTCTCCACCAGCTGTGTTTTAGAGGACATTTTTAATTAAAGAAAAATCATCATAAAAATCCTGTCCAGCATGCTCTGCAAACACTTCTGCTTCAAGCTCCAGCCAGCACTTAAGCCAGGTTTGGAGAGTGGCTCTCAGTACTCGTCTTTTAAAACATTATAAAGGACCAGGAGCTACCTTCCCAGGCCGTGGCATCAGAATGGGAATTCTGAATGCCCATCCCAAGTCTGCTCAAACCCTGCTTTAAACACCTAAAGATTCACTGACCTCTGTCTCAGTTGCTGCTACACTGCACTCGGGTTGCTGCATTTCCAGGTTATGCTGCTGCACTCCACTGGGGCAGTTCTCTAGTGCTGCACAATGCTTCTATCACTTTTATAAAATTTAAAAAAAAAAAAAAGACTCCTTTGACTAAATAAACTGTGATAGAAATATATTTACACTATGCACATTTTTACAGGAAATACAACTTGCTAAAAATCTGCAATTAATAACACCACCACCCTGCAATTCACTGCAGTCAAAGCTAAAGGATTTGCATTTTTAAGGTTTTTATTAGAGAAGTTGAAAGTTTCATCTCAGGACTGACAATAACATAATTATCTCTCTTCATTTATTTTGTTTATAGGAATATGTAGAATTTGTTTGTACAAGCATATACAACAAAGTAATTGGTGCTTAGTACATTGAAATCAGAAATCTGATTTGTTCTAAACTACCAGTTTTCCATGCGGTCATCTTTGAATTGGCAGCATGGACAATTTCCAAGCCGAATGCTTACATGCATTGTTTTGCAATATAACTACAGCAAGCTCTGGAAACATGCAAATTAACACATTAGCAAATCGTTTTTATATCTAATGGACATAAAAAGGTTATTCCTGATATGAAATTCTGAAAATCTGCATAAATACTTCTGTGTAAAATTAAATTAGTTATGTACTTCTCTTTTACTACAAGTATCAAGAATGCCCACGTAATTAATATACACACATATATATAGAGACCTTGTAATGCTAAAAGTCTTTGTAATTAATCAAACAATATTCTGTGCCATACATTTACTCAGTATTTACCAGCTAGTAGCATGACTGTGGTCATATAGTAGGCATGACAGCCTTAGTAGCATTTGTATCACATGCAAACATACTCTTAGCATTTCTGTTGACTAATTTTATCACGTAGCAACATGTATGTGATTTTCTACAATGTTGTGTTTCCCAAGTGTATAAATACTTTTTACATTTTCACAGTTACAAACTTTTTTGCCAAAAGCCATTTAAACAATCTTTTAAGTTACAATGAACTGTAGTATCCGGGATCTGCAACAACAGGATCAAAATGCAATTTCTATACAAGCAATGTAGGATGTAAACTTTTCTTAAAGTGCCTAATACGTAATTCCTTAGAGCACTGATCAGTTTTGGCACGAATACACTGTATTTCCCTCAGGTTATCCACTGCAGTGACTTCTACAGGATACTGGCTCCCCTCAGAATTGCTAGAGTTGATATGGCACTTGTGAATGACATCGTTAGGCTGCAGAAATACCCTGTCAAGTTACTGCTGCAGCCCATGAATTTGGCCGATGACTGTGTACACGCTGTACTTTTGAATATACTCAGTTACCTTTCCACTGCCTGCTGCCTGAAAAAAACCCATTTAAATATCATTTCAAATCAAACTCAACTCCTTACTGTCCTAATTATTACTTGGCATAAGGTCCCGTTCAGTGGGCTCAGGGAACATCAGTGTGGAGCATCTGACAAGGTGTGGCCTGGCGGGGTCTGGCAGCGTGGGGCTTCTGCACAGCACAGCACACATGGGAACGCAAATGGGAAATTACACCACTCGAGCTACAGCTTTGCTGCCATCTGAGATGATGTTAAAGGTATCTCCCGTGTTTTGAGGCTCTGATCCTGGGATTCTGATGCAGGCAAGGTGCCTGGCGAGATACAGAAAGGAAAACAGGATGGGGTTTAAAAAG